ATTTTGGGCAAAACGCGCCGTTTTTCAATGTTTATTTTTTTTCCCTACGCTGAAGAACAAATTCAAAAATGTACACATATAACTTTATTCTAAATTTCATGGCGAATCTTATGGCGAAAGAATCAGGGCGCTAGCTCACAACCCTAAGGACTTGATGTTTTTGCGAGATCGATGGGTCGAACTTCGAGTTCCGCCAGTTGAACCTCTTGATATGTTTTTTAGTTTCTACTGAAAAACTTTAAAACACAGTTTTCTAGATTCACTTTTCGATGTAGAATCTGAAAATATCAGTTAAAAAAAGTTAAAATGCAATCTGAAATGGCGACAGCACATTTTCTGAAAAGATGCATTTTTTCGTGTTTTTGACCCGAGCTCAGTATTTCGGGTCTTTCTCCCTGAAGATGGTATTTTTTTAAACTCGGACGGCGATATTCGTGATCAGCACACTTTGCTCTGAATATATCTGTTTGAATTAAAAATAAAAATGCGTGGTAACTTTGTATTGCGCGCGCCTTAAAAACTAATGATTTGCATGAACATCAAGAACACACTATTCATTTCATCGTATAGTTATACAAAAGAAATCTCTAAGCCTATTCAAACCAAAATAACTATTCCAATCTCAACTAGATTCTAAACTCGCCTGCCATATATATTATAATTTTCAACTCTATCTTTTCGGACAAGGAGATGTGTATTTTTTTTTCTTTCCTTAGCAAAAATAAAGGTTAGTGAAAGAGAAAATAAACTGTATGATACTCTTGCGCACGAAAGAAAGAGTACAACACTCGTTCCTTCATACAAGGCCTCGCCTTATCAAGCATATTTTATACTATTCGGCACAGAATGAACAAAAAAGCACATGTACATCACACATGTGTATAGAGAGGCGCCGTTTGTTTTCGACTATTTTTTTCTTTCGTCGATCGCTTCTTAAACAGAGGTTGTTTTTAACTCTGATTTTGCTTCTTGTATTCATTGTTCTCATCATCTATTACTTTCTACTTCGACAACGTTATCAATACTTTAACCTGCGTGGCATTCCTACGCCACGCTTTCAGTTCTTCTATGGTCACTTTAAAACGTTGTGGAATGCAGCATCTTATCATCGTCAGCTTGAAAGTTGGACGAAACAATATGGCAAGATTTATGGAATCTATGAGGAAGGCTTCCAATTTTTATTGTCAGCGACCCTGATTTTCTTCAGGAAGTTTTCATCAAACAATTTTCTATCTTTAATGCGCGAAAGGCTACTTTCATTGATAACATAATTCCGGCTGCCTTTGTCCTAAGTGGTGAAGAATAGCATCTTCATCGACACGTGCTCAATCCAGCATTCACTATAGCGAAACTGAAAATGATGAGTCCTCTTATCAATGAATGTATCAATGAATTAATGAAAATACTGTCGGAGCATGCAGGAAACGGTGAAGAGTTCAACATCTATTTGTACTATAGACGAATGACAATGGATGTCATCTGTAAGAATACATCACGATTTTTCTTTTTTCGAAGCATAACTTCAGAACGGTAAAGGCCAAAGAACTCCAGAACTCAAAAGAGGCATATACCGTGCTAATTTTTTCTATTAGAACACTTCCACACATGTTTAACCTTTCACTTTTATCATTAATACAGCGAAATAACCTTACTGAATAGTAAGGTTCGAGTTACCTTCGTGTCAAAAAATAGGATCCTCGATGTTTTGTAGTATTTCGAAAACTACGGATCTAAAACATATCTTAGAAAATCCTGTTTCTCCTATGAGCCATACATATTTTTAATGATTCCTTCAGACACTTTTCATTATTTTTCATACTCATATTTGATTCTAATAGTAAATATTGATTTTGTACTTTAAAATCCAGAACAGTGAGACTCATTTTCGACTTATTACATGAGTGAGTATATTCTCTGAGATTTCCGATGACAGTTTTAATCCGGAAAGACAGCCGAAAATTTTGCAAGCTAGTTAAAAGTCATATCCACATTATTCGTGGTATTCTTTAGGTCGAGGTGCATTTGGACTTGACACCGGTTTGCAAAACAATCCAGACAATATATATTTAAACAAAATAGACGAAATCTTTGCCAGCAGTGCGTTCACGGGTAGTGCTATTGCCCGATTTGCTCTACTTGTGCCCGAGTTCGGAAATGTTCTAAGTCGAGTCTTTTCTGTCATCAGCAACGTAATTACATTCATCAATACAAAATTTCTACCTTTGATATCAAAAAGACAGTTGGATGAAATGCCACTAATGTGGTTTTTCAATCGAGTACACGCTATTGTCGAACAACGTTTGGAGACGTCCACCTCACAAGTTGATCTTCTGGAACTTATGTTACAGGCGGTTGCCAAAAAGGTGCGTAATTTGAGCACGATCATTGAAAGTTAGAAGCTAGCTCCCTTGAAGTGATCAACGTGCCACTTATTTAGACAAATATTGAAAAATACTAGACTTCATCGAATCTTGCATAACTGAGTTGAATATCAGATATTGATTAAAAACAATTCAGTTTAGTTTTTTAGCGAAATTTTTAATGAAAAGTCTTCAGAGCACAAGTTATTATGAAAGATACAAAAGGATTAATTATAGAGATGTTTGAAAGTCCATCTATTTGACATCATACTAATGTTTTTTATGTGTGGTATTCGGACTGACGAGTGTTTATGCAGTTTAGATTCTATCTTTTGGCCATAACTAGATCTTGATGAGGGATGAAAAACCTCAACAGGCTATGTTCCCTTAGGCCTTTTGTTCGGAGTTATTGTTATTTTGGTAGAATTGTAACCTGCAGATCGGTATGTACGAACAAATCAAATCAAATTATTTAGAGCTAAATTTTGTCCACAGATAGCTATATTTGTGTCGTCCCCTCCACAAGATATCGAATTCCTGAAATTAACTCGTATATTATGAGAGATGCACGATGCTCATGGTTTTTGAGATTTCGATATCTTGTGAAGAAAACATTCTAGTCATAAGTATAGCTATTTGTAGACGAAATTTCAGCCAAAATAATATCATGTGATTTGTTAGTATGTACCGAGCAGTTTTATAAACTAAAAGATTGCTTTAAATAAGATTAAATCTTCCTGGAGATTTCTGTGAACACCATCAGAAAATAGCAAGTCAAATGGTATCGTTCACCATTCTAATTGTTTTCTGCACCTTCTCTCAAGCATTTTTTCGAAGATAAGATTATCTATCTTTGATGATCTTGCTGCGAGTTAACCGTCGAACTTTAGCCAAGAGCTCGTAGCTTCTCGAATATCATGTGAAGTGACTTCATCCGTTCTACAGAGATAGCATTTGAAGTTACACTACATTGTTTTGCCCATCTTGTGACAGACGACTTAAAATTTTTGCCAGATTCCTAGTTAAGACTTCTAAGAAAAACTATTGAAAAAACAAAAAGTTGTTGACATTAATAGAGGCCTTGAACGCAATTGTAAGGCGCTCATGAGTGTATTTCTCTATATAGGATGCAATGCAAGACACTATCAATGCCAACAATTGGCTAACTCAAGATGACGTTAGCGGCAACATTGTTAGCTTTATGACGGCAGGTTATGACACGACAGCAGCTACCTTAGCTAACATCACGTATGAGCTTGCAGACATCCAGATGTTTTGCAGAAACTTCAGGCTGAAGTTGACGAACTTCAGTTAACGAATGATGACAATGACGATGTTGAAGAAACGAAGAAATATCCTGACTATGACATCGTCGAACACTTGCCTTACATGGTCATGGCCGTTTCCGGAGCTTTGAGAATGTACCCCATTGCGAATTTTGCCGTTCAAAGACACGCCACACCCGATACAGTTGTACAAGGAATCAAGATTGAGTAATCTTCTTTTTAATCATCAGTACATTCGTGCGATGTGTACAAACATCTGCAAAACTTTACATCTCGGATTTTAATGTTGCAGCTAAAGCTTCTTTCTAAATATATTCTGAACTTGTACGGAAAAGGGTGGATATACTAGCATATACCTCGATTCCTATACCAAATTTCCAGCCAATAGTAACTGTTTATGAGAGTCCTTTTGGCTTTTCAGTGAGATTATACTGTTTCATACTTCGTATTTCATGAATTTATTTACTATCCTCATTTACAGTGAAACGTTCTCAGAATAAGAATATCTCTATCTAGCAGACGTTTTCTAGCTCTATCTATTACAATAAAACTTGGACCAAAAAGTGGATTGTAGAAGGGCAGGTATAATATTGCAGAACGGGGTAAGTTTTTTTGAATCACCGTGAACTACTACAAAATACCGAAAATCTATTCTAATAGAAAATATTGTCATCTGCTGATTTCATTCTTTATCAAGAAAAACCTCATAAAACTAGTTGTTTCTTTTATCTTTACAGGTTCTGTAGTGCATGCTGATGTCTATTCGGTTCATTATGATTGTGAACTTCGGGGTCCTGATGATCCATACACCTTTGTGCCTGTGCGTCATAAAACAAAACGCCATCCAATGGCATATTTACCATCTGGAGCGGGTTCACGCAGTTGAATCGGCATGCGTTTTGCTTTGATCGAGGTGAAGATTCTGTTAACGAGATTGCTTCGTAAGTATACTGTTCTACCCGGTGATCATCTCGAAAGCAAATTCAATATCATTGAACGAACGACTAATACACCGGAAGAAGTCTGGATCAAGCTGATAAAAAGAAACACTTAACAGAGTCCAACAGACTATCAGGTACCATACCTTTTATCAGAACTCCGATCACTTATTCAATTTTCATTTTCATATCTTTTTTCTATTTTAATCAATCTTATTGAAAAGCACTGTTTTTTTTAACTTTTTGTGTACTCAGAAAGTGAGTACACTATAGAACCGGTCAGTGTGTCCGGCCGCCTGTCCGTCCGGTCGTATACACGATAACTCTTCACAACTACATTCGATTTTGCTGAAATTTTGTGCACAGAATTGTTTAAAATATATTAGAATCGACTCAGTGTTGAACGCTGATTCTGAATATGATATAAGTTTTGAACCAAATCGTAGTTTTCAAACCAAAAGTTGTGTAAACAAGGTCTCAAAATGCAGAAAAACTGTATTCTGAGACCAATGTGTCTAGATATGTCTCAGGTGATTAGTCGTTTGAGAATTTTCTAAATGCATGGTTTTGTAGCTACTAAAATGGGTCATCACATGGGAAAAATCTGAACTCGATTACTATTATTTTAATTTTTTAATTCATTTTTGATCATAATAAGAAAAATTTCTAAACACATTACTAGGTGAAGCGTTAAGAAATCCATTCAAAAATAAAACTGGTATTAAACTGTAGGGTTCAATTGAACATAATCAAGGTACCAGCATCGGCAATATTTTATTCGCAATAGATTTGGAACCTCTTATTTTTTCGTATAAACAACTGTCGACCTTCAACCCATTTATTAACATCAAGCAGAAACACATATGTCACTTTCTAAATAATTATTGTATCATTTAAAGGTAAAATAATTCCTTCTAATCAATTTTCTTATCTTCTTTTGTGCCTTATTTTTCTTGTCTATTCAATAACACAACCAACTTCCTAAAACAATTTGAAATTGATCATTAGCAGATTTTATTATTTTAAGTCCTCAATTCTTATCGTGCTTAAATACAAACTTCACCAATCAAAAAATTTTTGATTAAATAAAATCATTTAGGTTTATTATAATAATTAAGAAAATTAACATGTTTTAAAATACTTTTCTGAATATTATCCACCAATATTTCAGATTTAAAAACAAATAAATCTATTCAATCAATGGATAAAGAAAATACAAATCCAGTGCTTTGTGACTCAGTAATTCTTGGTGATGACGAGTCACTTATTCGTGGTCAAAATACAACAGTTGTTCCTGGTTTTAAAGAACTACCGGGTGCGGCATAATGATTGCAACATTCTTTATTTTGCATATATCTCAGTCCAGAAATATGGTAAAATTTTAATTTCTTTTTTAGAAGATGCGTCATTTAATTCTCTACAAAAAACATATTGAAAATATTTCTATATACCTCAAAAAATAAGAGAATATGAAAGAAATATGGCAAATATGCAATCTCGACTACTTCCCAGGCTAAAAAAACAGTTTCTTCAGTTTTTATCCTTTATATTTTGGAATATAATAAAATAGAAGACAGTCATTTTGTAGCCATTGAAAAGTTCTGCCAACCTGCTGTATTAAAAATTCTTCATAATCACAAGAGATTGAGAGAGAGATTTTTTTTCTTTTATCGATTTTGTCAAAAATCATCAGTTTCAAGCTACTGTTTGGGGCCACTTAGGAAAAAGTCCATAACTCCGCCAGAATCAAACATTTTAAGATTGGATTTGTTTTACTTTAAAGGAAAATAACCCTGCTTTAACATACGAACGGAAAAAGTTCTATGGATCCGCTATTTCTACTGTGCGAAGACGAAATAGTCAAATTTTCTCATGTTTAGGATGAGTTTTTGTAAAATCGCTTTTTATTCAAGAAAAACAGGCTTAAAGCTACCCTATGATATATGAAAAGAAAGACGACACTCAGGAACACCAGAACATATATTTTATTCCACTTTCATATATGCCACCGTGCTCAAAATCAATTTGTTTTTTGGCCTAGAAAGTAGTCGAGATTGCATATTTGCCATATTTCTTTCATATTCTCTTATTTTTTGAGGTATATAGAAAAATTTTCAATATGTTTTTTGTAGAGAATTAAATGACGCATCTTCTAAAAAAGAAATTAAAATTTTACCATATTTCTGGACTGAGGTATATACAAAATAAAGAATGTTGCAATCATTATGCCGTACCCGGTAGTTACTCATTGTCATAATAAAAGAGTTGTTTCTGATATTAATGAACCAGTTTTTTTTGGTAATAGATTTACAAAATTTAAAAATTAATAAAAAAATCTTTCTATTTTCAGAAAAAGGTGTTAGAGATACAGTTGTTACTGTCAATCGCATGAAACGTTATGCGTTTATAAAACGGTTTGTATTAACAAGTTTTTTTTTCAACTTTAATTTCATATATTATCTAGCAAAGACAGAACTGACTTTCGTGATATGTTTGCTCGAGAAGCGTCTGTTATTAATGAAAAACATCAAAAGAAACTTTTTATTTCGGACACATGCAAATTTGACATTATACAAAGTGAGTTATTTTACTTTAATAATAACATAAATAATACTTTATTCTTCTCAAGCACAACGTGGTTTTGAAGCTGTTAATATCAAAAATCGAGGAACGAAATATTAATAATATTTCAAAATTACCAAAAATTCCAAAAAAAAAGAAACAAATGAACAACAAACGCAAATATCCGTGGATATTTTTAAATCTACAATGTATGACTTAATTTTTTTTTAAATTTATATTAAACTATATCTCATTCTAGTGCTGAACTATTTCGAGAAGCATTATAAAAGAATAAATAAAACTTATTTATATTTGTCATTTGATTTACAACAACATTAACAATATCATGACATCTATTGGATACATTCATCATTAAACAAAAAAAATTGTAATACAATATATTGCACTTAAGAAAAAATTGTTTTTAAATACAATTTATCTTGTATTAAATAATAAAAAAAGATAAACCACTAGATAATTTTTCAATTCATATACCTAACTAACTAAAAGACGATCTGTAAAACAAAACTAAATGAGAATTTAATATAAAATTCGCTGTAGCTTTTTCACTCATCCATATATTTCTCTAATTTTTTCAACTAAATTCGAATTGCTTTGCACCGTATTTCGCACATGAGCTGGTCTCGCATTCAATCTAGTTTATCTTAAATTGATTTATTTCATTTTTTAGATTTTAATTATCATAATTATTCAAACAATTAAAAGAAATATAATTTGAACTTTTTGTTAAAGAAAGGTGTCAAGTTTTTGACATTCAAAAGTTTCTTGCTTAGAATCGAATTAATCTTCACCTAGTTTAAACGAAGATTTATTTCGAAAGAAACTTTTTCATTGTTTATCTGAATAAATTCAGAGATATACACGTTTCTGACTAACGAGGGAACCCCACCAACTGATTAAAAGCTTTAAGGCTCATATTCCGGCCATACGTAGGACTAGTGGAACTAGAACAACCCTAAAAGGATTTCCCATGGGTCTTTTTTGTTGAGATATGAAGGTTTCAAGTTTAGGACCAAAAATGTGGATAAAATGATTGCTATGCTTGAATTACTATACTAATATAAATTAAGAAAAAACTTCATTTTTGAAATGCTCGTAAATAAAACATGTAGCTGTTGAAAGAATCATGTTGTGTTGTTCGTCTGATGATCTGACTACTATATAAAAGAAGCACCAAGTATTAATACTTCAATACAATAGGATTATTTAATATATGTGTTTCATATGCGATCATACATTCTTCAATTATTTGCATCTGTTATCTCCCTCGCACGTCTTGCCATTCGTGCTTTATCTTTCGTTTGCATCCGACTGATATGTTTATTCTGGGTTTCATTCAGAGCCAGAACGAGAATAAAAGGCAGAATAAAGAGAGCCTATAGAAATATTACACACATTTCGTTCCTTGCTACAATATTGTGCGTTTGTTTGTGATTTTCTTATAGATTGTTCTGTTTTATATGATCTATAGAAAAACGCGTAAAACACTTCAATGTATAAATATTTTGGATCATAAATTTTTCTTTTGATATATATTAGTATTATAATTCAAGCACAACAACCAATTTATCTACATTTTTGGTCCTAAACTTGAAACCTTCATATCACGAAAGTAATTTGAATTCTTCACTATCTCCCTCATCATTTAGGCAGTTGTCGGCGACGCCGTCGTCGTCAAATGAGGATTGCGGTGGCGAAAGGGAAATGTCACCCGGTGCCATGGAACGTCTAGGAGATGGATGAAAATTCTGCTCATTGCCATTCTTTACCGGCTGCATCATCATTGAGTCGCTTGTTCGTGACCTCGTCATCGTCAGATAAGCATTGTTGTCCGAAAATAAGCCGAAAATATCTCATGGATCCTTGTTTAGTCTTTTCTTTCCACTAAAATACACCGACGAAAGTGATACCGAAATTGTTTTGGATATTTCACTCTGGTCTACTCAGATTAAGTACATACGTGAAAATCTCTGAAGAGTCAACAAAAACCACTCCTCATAGCTTTTTCTGTTGTTTCCTAAATACATCTCTAGCATTTAGATTTCATTGTTTAGTTTCTGTAGTCGTCTTAGTAACCTCCTTAGTTACATTAACTAGAAAAAACGGTTTTCCTGATCTTGGTTCAATCCATTGTTTAATAGTGGATTGAACCACATGGATTGAGGCTATGCGGTGCAAAGTGTTCTCGACCAAATTATACATATTCTGAAACCAGACTATCGGTTACGTCAAATCGCAAAAAAAGTTGTTGTTTATCCAAAAAAATTTCGGTAGATACTTTCGTCGGTGTATTTTAGTGGAAAGAAAAGACTAAACAGGGACCAAGCAAAACTTTTTACTTTTCGTTTTCTTTTCTTTCGTTATAATCCCGTTATTGTTAGTTTCATCATACAACGCTTGGGTAGTGATATTATTGACTAACTAACATTTCATAGCATTTTAATATTCAGATTGAATCTCTAAATTGAAATGCTTTAATCGACAAATCACCTTGAACTAAATGATGACGTTGAACATTGGACGCATTCAGTACTGGTTAGAAGACCTAGGTTATGGGCTGCGGTGGCCATATACGGCGAGTTACGACCGAGTACTGTAGCGTATCACGCCGCAAATGGCCGTAACTTGACGTAATTTGACCGTAATCTTATGCTCCGTAACACGGCAGCCGTACTCGGTCGTAACTGGCCGTATATGGCCACCGCAGCCAGTACCATTTTCGTGTTAACTAGTCTTGTCATTGAGTTAGCTTTCATGAATAGGACCCTAAACTTCAATGCTGCCAAGAAAGATCGTACTATTACGGGTAAAATCACTTCAATTAGTAGTCCATCAAACGTACAACTTCAACATTTATATCGTGGCGATTTTTCGATTCGTGTTTTCGTCAGGTAATACGAGCAGTTGACAAAAAAGTTGGTCTATGGTGCTTAAGGATTATGACAAATGTCACTTCAACAGAGCTCTAGGAGCTCAGGAGTGTCAAAGCTGAACTGGCTTTTAGTATTATGTGACCTGCGATAGACGAATGTTTTCCATTAAACATCGAATTGAACATTTTTCACAAATTTTTGGTTTAAGCAAACTTTTTACTTTTCGTTTCCTTTTCTTTCGTTATAATCCCATTATTGTTAGTTTCATCATACAACGCTTGGGTAGTGATATTATTGACTAACAACATTTCATAACATTTTAATATTCAGATTGAATCTCAGGTTGAAACGACAAAAAAGGGGTTAGTTTTGAAACCTTTAACGCGTTTTTTAGTCGTTAAAAAGGAAAAAAAACGCGTTTTTTTGTCAGTTTTTTACCCCCGGGTAACTCAGAACATTTTTTAAAACTTTTAATCTGGCATAGCAGGAGGGATCTGCTCTATTAAATATATAGCACATCTATGTACTTAGAGTGTTTAAAAGTGCTGTATATTTGATAGTTTTTTTGGTGTAGTTTTGCATGAATATCATTAGGAGATAAACCACTGATTATTTTGCGTTGTTTTGATATGGGCGCGGGAGATAATATGTTTCTCGTAC